ACTTACTTATTATTTACTTATTATCAGAATAAATAAAGTCTAATTTGTTGGAAAATTATTCCTTTGGATAAGAAAAAGTGGCTTTATTTATTAAAAAGAAAAAAAAATAGAAAATTTTCAGAAATTATACATGTATTAAATTCAGGGATAACACTAAGATGAATTGTAATGTTGAAGAATGACAATATTGATTGATTTACCTTTTTTTTTTTTATTTTTTATCACCTTCTCTCGTATTTTATATATTTTAAAAGTTTGTTTTGAACATCTTTGTTAAACATTTAACTAAACACTTACTTTGTCAAAGGTATACTGTGAAGATATGCTATCCTGTGGTTCACTTCTTGACAATTTACTATCATCAATAACTTCATAATCAATTTTTCGATACTTTCCACCTGATGATGTTCTCACATATTCAACTGTTGGCAATTGTTGTGGTAATTCTTTTGGTTTTGGACCACCCTAAAATTACAACCTATTATAGATTTCTTTTTTTTTTAAAAAAATTAAGAAGAAAAAAGATTAAAGAATTTCATTTTGTGACATAATTGCTCTCTTCATACATCCTACGCCACTATTTGTCTCCTAGGAAATGCACATTAATTAAATTTTAATTAGTTTTTTTTAATTACTGGTTATTGTTTTACTCATCACCGTTGGTTAATTTTATTGAAACATATACAAAATTTACTTTTTTATAGGTATGAAAAAAATTGGTTAAATGATTAAAAATTAAATATAATTAAAAATTCTTGGAAATTATATATTATTTTCGAAAAAATTTTCTCTTTGAATTATAAAAATTTTAAAAATGAATTATTACTTTGATATTTAATTTAAGTAAAATTGAAATTATACTAAAAAATCCCTAAAATTTTTAAGTAAAACATCGAACAAAATTTTTCATAATATAATAAAATGTTATATTTAAAAAATTTTTTAAATTTTCTTTTAGCGCAATAAATAAAAACTTTATGTGTAATAAATGAATGTTTTAATATAATAAATAAAAGTTTTAATAATAAGTAATATAATAAATGAAAAGTAAGTACTTAAATATTTCTGTATAATAAGTAAATAAAAGTAAATAAAAGCAATTTGTTTATTTTCCTTCCGCTTTTGTTTACAGTTATCAAAAAATGCTTAATTTATTGTTTTTTAAAAGTGAACAAAAGTAATGCTGCAATTTTGATAGTTAAAATTATGTGAAATGAAATTTGAAAAATTAATCAAATAACAATAACAGAGAGGGGGGGGGAGGAGGGAATATGCTAAGCGCAAATGTCATATGATAGATTTAATTTACTAAATTAAGGATGTAATACTACGATGACAAAATTGTCGAAATTGTCGAATGAGAATATTTGACAATAGTACATTTCTTAGAAATAATACTGATTATTATGATAACTAATGGATGAGTATTAATTAGATTTCTGAAAAAGATAGCTTAAGATCTAAGTTTATTAATTAAACTCTAATTGGTTAACTTGATGAAATTAGCAAGAGATAAATGTTTAAGTAATTAATAATTTGCATATTTTATCTGATGAGTATAAATATTCCATGCATTTTTGCTAAATAGTAGTATTTCAAGTTAAGTAAAATTAAGTAATTAATTATGTGATTTCCTTGTAATTATTCGCAATTGTTAAATTTATCGATTATTTTCATTGGCAATAAGAAATTAAGTTATTGTTGCATTACAATTATTGATAGAATAATTGGTGAATAAATCGATAAAAAGAAAATACTGATACAATAAGATAAAAATTAGCTATAGCATTAACAGTTCATTTAATATATCATACCATATTCTAATAAACTAATTAAAAATTAATTATCTCTTTGTTATTATACAACTGATAAGGATATCATTTGTTATCACAATAGTATTAAGAAAATTTGCAAATAATTAATTGGATAAGATAATATACAGTAATCAATAACTATACAAATTATGACAAGATATGGATTAATTATTCAAAATAAAAACCTAATAGCGTTAATTAATTAGAATAATCTATTAAAATAAACATATACCTTTGGGCTCCATTGATTACCACTGATAGGACGGGATGAAATGGATTCATCGATTGATTGCTTACTTGTATTCATTTCAAATTGTTGAGTTAATGCTGAGACAATAGCGCCTGATTTTGTCGTTGTCGTTTCGGTATTTGAAACAATTGGTGAACTAATTGACGGAACGGGTGAAACTGAGGCACGTGGCTGAAAGAGATATCATTTAATTTAAAATTTTAAAAGTAAGAAAGAAAAAAGAAAAAACAAAATTTCATAAAATAATTTCTTCATTTTTTAATATTATTTTCTATCTTATCTTTTTCTTTTTTCCTTTTCGTCTATTATTTATTCCCAAAATTTCAATTTTTTTTAAACTTTAAAAAGTTATTTGTCTTTTTGTTTAATTTAAAAAAAAAAAAACTGCGATTATTGTGGGGGAAAAAAAAAGGGAGTAAGTTTAGTAGAAAAAAAAAGAAGAATTATAGCAAAAATAAAAATAAACATTCAAAAAAAAAGAAGAAAAAAAATTTTAAACAAAAATTTTAATGTCTTAGAATTTTTTATTTTTCTTTTTTAAATTTTTTAGACTTAAATTCTTTTCTTTTTATTTGTTAAATTCCATTAAGTTAACAAAATTTTGTTTGTTTTACTTCTTTCATTTCCCATTTCAATGAAAAAAAACTAAAAGGAACAATTTTTGAATCAATCATAAAAGTACGAAAATGAAACAAAAAGAAAAAAAACAAAATTGGCATTACTTCTAAATTATACTTTAAATAAAGTAAAAACAAATTTTTGTTCTTTCCCTCTTTCTTTCTTTCTTTTTTTTTTTTTGCAATAAATGAATTGAAATGACATAGAAATTTTGGTCCAAAAATGAAAAACAAAAAAAGGAAAATAAAATAAAATGAAATAATATTAAGTGGTATTTAAGTAATTTTGCATATATAACATTAACTAATCATTTGTTTAGGTTTATTAATTAGTAGCATTGGGAAAAGTGAACCTATAGCAAAATTTTATGCCAAAAATAATTTGCGACAATGTCTTCATTTCATTTCAAAAATAGAAAGCACAAAACAACAAGTTAAAAAGAAGCCAGTGAATAGTAATAATAATAATTAATAATAGTAGCGATAATAATAATAATAATAATAATAATAATAATAATAATAATAATAATAATAAAATAATAATAATAATAA